ATATCTTTAATTATGTAATTTGTAAAGTATTTATCTTAAGACAAGTTTCGCCAAATAATAACGAGCGTTCGTGGTAGATGCCTTCAATTTGTCCGCTTTAATATTGACCACGTATTTATTATTTATTATTTATTTAAATCTCTAAGGCAGCGCTGTCACCACGCGTCCTTTTTTTCGACCCGAATTCTATCTATTTATCTATTTCGATTGTTTGAAATCTATATTAGGGATTTAGAAGGATTAGAGAGTCCATCAAATGTTGCTTTGATACATGGGCGTAGCCCAGAAGCGTTTTTCGTCATAAGATTCTCTAATGGGAAAGAAGAAGGTAGTTGTGAGGGTAAAAAGAAATATGAACGCGAATAATAATAAGATTTGACGATTTTTATTCTGATCATAGGTATATTTTTATACCTTTTATATCTGCTTGTAGTAAAGCAGGAACTATGTTAATTGCGCGAGATAATACGTGCTCTTTGCGAATGACGGACGGGGCGCATGTGTATATGCGCGTCGGACGTTACAATGACGAATAAATTCCTATGTTATTATCATTTCCCAGTTATTGTTTCGAGGAAAGTGCATAAATTGAGAGAAATCGATTATCTAGGTTCGTTTCAGGCAATTTCAACTCTCAAATATTTGAAAATATATCCTAAAGATTTAGAGTATCTATATTAAAAAACGAAGAAAAAAGATTTTGTGAAGTCCATGCTAAAGGCGAGAATACTTCCTTAAATCAATCATCAATCGAATCTTCAATTAATTTGATTAATTAAATCAATCGTTAATCAAATTACCTTCAATTGAATTCACTCACATCAATCGTCATTTAAATTACTTTCAATTAATTCCCCTCGAATCGATCGTCAATTAAATGACTTTCAATTAATTCTCCTCGAATCAATTGTCAATTAAACGACTTTCAATTAATTCTCCTCGAATCAATTGTCAATTTAACAACTTTCAATTAATTCCCTTCGAATCAATCGTCAATTAAACGACTTTCAAGTAATTCTCCTCGAATTAATCGTCAATTAAAGAGTTTCGATTAAATTTGTTTCAATCAATTGTAAATTAAACAATATTTAATTGAATCTTTCCATATCAATTGTCAATTAAATTGGTAATTTAATTTAAAATGTAATTAATTACTTACAACTCTGCTCCACAGTATTTCGTGAAAGTCCGTTAGGAATAAAATTGAAAGAAAACACTCTTAATTGCTATAATCAAGTACTCTACTTGATTTTAATTTTAAAATGCCTGATGTAATTATAGCAGATGATGCTTTTTCTTTATATATAAATTTAATGAAATCGTACCCAGAACGTGGCTTAACACAAAACAAACGTATATACTTAATTACAGATTGAGCAGGGCACGAAGAATTTCTGAAAACGGATTCGATGAACTTGTTAATAAATTCAGAGTTCTCTTAAATCCCATACCGCTTAGTGTAGAAAAAGTAGAGAACATAACATATGCATGTGTTCTTCTTCATAATTATCTTATAAGTAAAAAATTGTAATCATATGTTCCTTCTGAATATCAAGAGAAGATGTACAACTACCTAAGTCAAGATTACGTAGTGTGGGGCAACAAGGCGGAAATCGTTCGTCTTCTGCAGCTACGGAAGTAAGAGAAATGTTTACAACATATTTTAATACAATTGGTGCTGTCCCATGGCAGGATGTTGCTGTAGAGAAGGGAAACGCTTAATTTTTTACTTAATCTAAAACTGTAAATTATCAGTAACTATAATTTTACTATAAGTTTCTGTATTTTGCATATAATATAACATATAAGCGTGGTATTTTGTATCAAAGTATATTTTAAAAATATTTTTAAACAGAATTAATTTTAATAAAGACCTTATAATTAAAAAAAAAGATTACATGATTGTATTATT